CTCTCTCTCTCTCTCTCTCTCTCTCTCTCTCTCTCTCTCTCTCTCTCTCTCTCTCTCTCTCTGTGTGTGTGTGTGTGTGTGTGTGTGTGTGCCTACCTCTGCCTACCTCTGTGTGCATTTGTGTTTGTCTCTCTGTCTTTATTCTTTATTCCACTTTTGAAGTCCCCTGTCATTTAGATTTTAGGGATCCAGGGGAGGGAAAAGCTGAGGGGTCACTCGGGTTCTATGGTCGGGCATTTCTCCCAGTTACGCTATTGAAGCTTGGTTAGGTCTCATCCATGTTCTTTCTGGTTGTAAAGTTCGTTGGTCTTGACAGCTATCTAATCACATTTGGGGAGTTTCCCCGATGAACATCTTTCTTTTTTTGTGTTTGTAAGGACCTGCCAAACACGGACTGAGACACACAGCCGATTTCTGAGATTTGCCAATGGAATGCATGCCTTGCTGAGTTTCCCGCTTGTTGCTGAGTTTTCTAAGTCTGAGTGTGTGTGTGTGTGCGTGTGCTTACTGGTCTGCGTGCCTGTCTGAGTGCTTGTCGGTTTTAGTGTGTGTGTGACCCGCAAGGGTAGTTGACCGTGCGGGAGGCCCGAAGGGGGGGGGCAGTACTTACCTGTGGTCGTGACATTCAAGTGGCGGGGAAAGAGGCTCGTGACACTTGGTGCAGTGGGAAAAAAAAAAAAAAACCCACTCAAGTAGCAGGTAGGCCGGTACCACACCAAGAAGAGGTAGATGAGCCGGGTACCCTAGCTCACCATAGCAAGAGTAGTACACCAAGAAGAGGTAGATGAGCCGGGTACCACACCAGTGCTCCTCCTCATTCTTCCGTGTGCAAGTTTGGCAACACACTGCTTGGAGCGCTGGCTGGAGCAACGCTGCTCGGAGCAGCACTGCTGGGGAGGACAGAGCGCCCAGCTCTCCACCGCGGCTATGGTGGAGGAGCACGGGCTGGAGGAGGAGAGAGACGAGGACTAGGAAGAGGGAGAGCGCCAGAGATACCACGTGTGTCCTGAGCGCCCAGCTCTCCACCGCGGCTATGGTGGAGGAGCACGGGCTGGAGGAGGAGAGAGACGAGGACTAGGAAGAGGGAGAGCGCCAGAGGTACCACGTGTGTCCTGCAGTGTATGTATCTGGGAGTCCAAACCCCCCAATTTAGCCCCCTTAAAACCCCCCATAGCACTCTTATACGTCCCATATACCCCCCCAAAAGCCCCCCTGTAACTTTCCCTCCCCCCCCCCCCCCCCCCCCCCCCCCCCCCCCCCCCCCCCCTCCCACTTCCCCAAAAGTTTCTCAGCGGATTTGGGCTCACTCAGCAAGCGCAGTACAGCCCCATAGTCAGAGTTAAAAAAAAATCAGTGGATGGCTGCTTACTGACTGGTCGGCCCTACCAGTAGGCTGCAAAACCGTCGGCAGTCGGGGTAGGCGGTCGGCGTGTATGCAACATTGCCGGTTTTCATAATTCCGTCCATAGGGATGTTCGTGCTTGGCCCACAAACGTTACTTGGCATAAACTATATCGTTTGAAATTTGTTTCCCTTCCTGTCTTGGTCTCATTACCAATGCTTCGTTTTTGTTTTCTTGCTGATTGCCTCCTTCTCCTTCTCCTTCTCCTTCTCCTTCTCCTTCTCCTTCTCCTTCTCCTTCTCTGTCGGTGGGAGACTTCACCGGCTCATACGTTGTCATTGCTCATGTTTGTGTTGGTTAAGCTGTGCAGGATTTCCTATTCTTGGGGTACAATGGCAACGGCTGGAGAACCCCGCACTGCGGAACTCGCTTGGTATGAGCGCAAACATGAAGGTACTTCAACGCTCATGCAGATTTGGATTTTGCATTTCCTGAAGAAACGTTCATGGTCTCTTGAGGGTGGCTTTTATATCATCGCTGGGATTTCGTGCCCAGGTTGTGACGGATGCTCCCCATGGTTTTCCACACACAGACACACACACACACACACACACACACACACACACACACACACACACACACATG